TACACAAATAGACCTCTGAAAGTTTTAATTTTGAATAACCAGCTCATATTCTGTGCAGTGTTGCAGTTATATTCATCAAGCAACAAATGATTTTTTAAAGTTTTGGTTAAAATATCATTACTTGTCATCATTATGTCATATTAAAATGTCATGAATACAGTGTCATCCTGTTATATTTCAGTGACGGAATAAATGTGCTGAGAATTATATACAGCCGAAAGTTTATGAGCGTATATCGGAGGTTAATTTCTAATCCTTGTCCTCCTCCTTCTTTTTAGGGAACAAAAATAAAATTTAGCCAGCCTGTAAATATCGATTCTAAGTTTTCAGAATATCGCTAGCCAATTCAGCAGTCGGTGATCTTTAATTACTTTCTAATCTCAAAATATCTTTAAACCACCTGTATGAAGTGTTAAGTCATTTTGCGAGTGATTTGAAGTATACATTATTTGTGTAAGCCCAAGGAATATGAGGGCCTAAAAAGATTTTAAAAGTTATTTGTATTGTATCATATTGTTATTTATATGAGTTGCAAGTTTTCTCGACGTCCTGAACGCTTACGAGCGATTCACTACTGTATTTTTAAATTTATATGGTTGAGATTGAGGGTACGAGCAAGCTATAGTATCATGTCTTATCTCCAGTACTCCAAACAATAAATGTGACACGGTTAGTTCGGTGCTGAAGGCGTTAGGAGATGTATGCGTCCTCAACATACGTCCTATTACCTTTTTATCCCTGATATCTTTTTTGGTTATCGCTGACCCCACCATAGTGAATGCCTTGAGTTCAGACTAAGATTTGAATTTATCAGTCTCATTAATATTATAACTACTAAACATGTCCTTAAATTCACTGCGATTGTGCAAATTCTGTTTATGAAACTGGAAGTTTCAGTTTAAAGCCATCATTTTCATCGGTACACTCATGTAAGGACATAATTAGAATTAATTTAAGTCATCCTTTACGTGATGCGTGAGAGCTTGTAAGGGTGATGTCGGCTAAACCCTACTACATTCCATTTACCGCATAAGAAACATGTGGTGTCAGGTTGATTAAGATAGCTAAGACACAGTTCACATCAATCTACCGTTGGTGGTCGTTTTCCCCGACTCATTGACAGTAGTTGTGAGTAATCTCATAAGTGGAAATCTTCCGGACATACCAAGGAAAAAGTTTAATTTAGCCGCAGTATGACATTAAATTCTCATGGAAACTTCCCGTCATACTTCTGGTTTCATATTTTCAGTCTGTTAGTTCGTGGTTGTCGACTGACGTTCCTTTAGAAAATCCATAAAATAAAATACATTGTATGAAGTGCTCTAAAATATGTTCCTTAGTTAATCAGTCGAGATATATTTTGATGATGTTTTAAAGAAAGACTTGAGTAGTTCTAAGCTGACTGTTCAATACTGTTAGCACTTTTTATAGTCCACATTGACTGCTATCAGAACACACTTTCGTATGGAGTTATTTCTTGGACTAACATCTTCACCGATCACCTGCATCGACCATCGAGTGTCATTACTAACTTGGTCTGAAATGACTAAGTTTAAGTATTTTATAAACTTTCGGTTCGTCGGTTGAAAGTATTACTGTGTTAAAGAGGTTTCTAAATGAACTTCTTTCTTTCTTTCTTCTGATTTTAAAGAAAGATTTACGCATCTCATCGTAGTCATTTATTACACACAGTCTGAACACAATGAATATTTTCAAGTGTTAGTTTGTAGGAATTCCATTTGTTTCAAGTTTAACATTGGCATTAGCCATTGGCAAATCACGAATTGATAAAATTCATTAGCTGTTAAGTCGGATCTCAGTGGCTGAGTAGTCTACTAGCTTGACTTGTAACCAGAAGGTCCTTGGTCCGAACTCCATGGGATGTATACTGCTGATAAATTCCAAACTAAGGCGAAACAGCTGTCTAGTACTCCCTGGTATTCAGTGGTTGTCCAGTTGATATCATACCGTGATCATACTTGAAACAATCAATATTCTGCAATATTCAAAAGAAACTTTAGAACTTCAAGGAGACAACAATATAATACATCATTAATTATGCTCTTATAATGCCTAATACTAACGGCAATCCAATTTATTTGTCCATGTGACAGTAAATTTGTGTTATCTAGAATATGCAAAACTAAAGGACGACAAAGCCCTGTTTTATCTCTAAATGATGTCTGTTATCTGTTGACATTGTTTGCTGTATGCCGTACCAAGGACTAGATTTCTGGTTGTATAACTAGTCGGTTACCTCATCAGAATAAGGTGACAGACAATATTTAATGATAATTTACCTTACGACATAACGTAATTGCTAACCACTTTTAGCAGCTAACATTAGTCCTTAAGCTTAAATTTTCTGATCTGTGATATCATCATGTAGGAAAGTACCTGAGGTATTTCAAAGACGAGAATATCCATAAATTGCCTTACTAATGAAACACTGAAGCGGGTTTGTTAACGAAAATTCTCTTATTTCATCTAAATAAAATCTAAGATTATACAGCAAAGCAGAGATGATTATTATTTGACAGAGGAAATGCAATAAAACTTCTACCTGTTGAAATAAAGGATCTTATTTCACTTATGTTATCTAAAACAACATTTAGGGTGAGATTTTTATATAAGAAGGTAATGATTAAAGGCTTACAGCATATGAAAAAGTGTCGGAAGGTTTTCACATACAGTCGCTTAATGTTTTATAGTGACTAGATTATCGGCAGGCACACTGGACTATCGAAGCAATAACGTGGTCTATAATACTGTCTATTATTATAATATTATTACTCTTCCTTCGGGTTTCGAGTGGAACATAGGGCTTCAACAATGCACCTCCACTTTTTCCTATTTTTTGTTGTCCTGTTTAGCTGGGTCCAAGATTGCCCATAGTCTGTCATCACCTCCTCTCACGATATCATTCATGTCACCCACGGGTCCGCGCCCAACTCGTCGTTTCCCTCTGAGTTCCATTCGAGCATTGACTTGGAAGGTTGTGTCACTTAACGGTTTCCTCAGAGTGTGCCCAGTTCATCTTCATTTCCTTCGGAATATTTGTTAATCAATCAGTTCTTGATTGTTTTGTTCCCATAGTTTCTTTTTGCTGATTCTTTCTGGCCGGCCATTTGATCTTCAATGTGAAGCAAAGGCAGATGATGATAAAAGTCTACAGCTGGCCGTTGGAAATGCTTTTCGTGATGCGCGTGTAAAGTTTGTGACCCATGTAGAAGAACTGACTTAACATTTGTGTTGGAAAAGTCAATCTTGTTCTCTAGGCTGTGGGGTGAAGAAGATTTCCAAACTGGTTTCAAAGTGATGAAAGTCTGCCTGGCCATTCCAATTCTGGCCAGCTTGACATCATTGTCCATGCCTGTGCCTGCGGTTGAAACGATGGTGACTAGATAAATGAAGGAAGCGACTTTTTTCAGATTTATCCCACTGATATTATCTGTGTTTGGTGCTGGCTGTTGTTGCTATTGGTTAGTTGGTTACCTTCATCCCTTTCGTCTTCGCTGTTTTCACTTTTAGTTATGTTTCCACTGCCAGCTTCTTCAGCCAGTTTGTTAGTTTTCGCTTGCAAGTCTTCGAATTTGTGCGACACTAGACATAAATTATCCATGCGCGAAATCCAGATCTTCTAGAGTCTTATTATCGGTCGTCCAGCGTATTCTTGACTTCTTGTCCCCAATAGACTGAAGCATAATCCAGTTAACCACAATTTAGAATATCATCGGTGATAATAGGCAGGCAGCTTTGTCTTACTCCTGTATGTACTTCGAACGCCTTGCTGAGTCTCCCATTGAGGATCACCTGACAGGTGGCATTGTCGTACAACCTTGGGCACTGCACGCCGTAGTTTTGAGGCAGTTTACAGATTACTTCACAGTCTACGCTGTCTGGTGAAGGCCTTTTCGAAGTCGATGAAGTTGAGGTAGAGGTTTGACTACCATTCTATGCTTTGTTCTGTGGTGACGATGCGTAGAGTTGCGATTTGATCAGCACACGATTTGCCTTTCCTGAATCCAGCTTGTTGTGGGAGTTCTGTATCCAGTGCATCTTTTATTCTCTCCAGGATGATGCGATTTAGTATTTTACTTGAGGTGAACAAGATCGTGATTCGGCGCCAGTTCTTTCGAGGGTCTAAGTCATCCTTCTTTGGCAGTTTGACTAGGTAGACTTTTTCCAGTCAATAGACACCTTAACTTCCTTCCAACATTTTTGCATTAATGGCATCAGCATGTCTGCTACAGTCTCTGGGTTCGTTCTCAGTACCTCGGAGGGAATTCCGTCAAGTCCTGCTGCCTTCCCAGACTTCAGCAGCTCGACCACATTCAGGACTTCTGCTCTCGTTGAGGGACTGGTGTCCAGTGACAGGCAGTTATGTGCCAGCTATTGGTGGTATTTCTGTGCGAGTTGCAGGTGATGGTCAATTCAAGAGTCCTTTGGCGTGATCAGTAAACCAGGCGAGGTTATAATACTGTCTGGTAACCTTAATTTCTTTTCTAACTATAGTATATGCAGCTATACTTGCGACTTCACAAGTGGTTCACTAAATGCAATTGAAACTCCGCTCACTAAAGTCATGAGACTGGTTGGTTTTACTGGTATATTGAGGAAAGCTTTTGACTTTTACCGAAGATTAACCGATACTATTGTCTACAGTTCTAAGTCTTGACAGAATTTACTTTAAAATGTCCTGTTTTTTGACTGTGATGAAACAGTTGGCAGTGGGTGACAGGGTACTACAGAGTTTAGATTTCGTGTCCTTTAGGTACATCTAATTGTAAATCTTTCACCCAGGCTGAGCAGGACTTCTTGTTAATTGTTGCTACTATAAATTATTATCAGTAAGGTCACAGATTCCATTACATACGAATATAAAAACAGCAGTCTTAAATATGATATTCATATCAACAATTTTTTCAAACAATTATTTTCTCTTCCTTTTTCTGAATTGATTATAGTCCTTATTTTGTACCCCTTCTTTCTAATCCCAGTTACAGAAATCAAAACCGAAGAGTGAATGGGATAAATATGCTGTAGTCGATCGTTCAAACTGGTTTAAATCACAGATGCCTGTGAGTTATCCCCTTTATATCCACCTTTTACCATTTACACATCCTTGTGTGTATTTTATTTTTTCAGGTTACTTCATTCGAGCAGTTACACCAGCCACCCATTGTAGGCGTGCATTTCGTTCACGCGACTGGAATACTAGCAAAAGACTGGTTATGTTTCTGGTGCAGCAATATTACTAATAAAGTTATCCTGACATCTACTGTTACTGGAGTTGGAAGAATGGCCTTAAAAACCATTGCCTATGATATTATTACCTAGTGGAATACCAACCTAAATTAGTTGCATTTAATTTACTGATTAAAAACAAACTATGGGATTCTTTCAAAAATTAATTGTCTAAAACTGTAAAGCTGCTACATGTTTTTCGTGGGAAAAACGTCTTCAAATGAACATGGAACATGTTATAATTTCTAAAAGGGTGACTGTATAACACTGTTATACATAAAGCTTAATGCACAAATGAGCTGGATGATAATCAATAGTTGAACACAGCATTTCTGATGTGGTATTTCTTTTAGGTGTGCGTCTGTGGCACAGAGGTAAAATGTTCGCCAACCACGCCTCATGTGGTCCGGGCTTTGATCCCCGGCCGCAGATGCACTCCTTCACTTCGTAAAGCCAATAATAGGACTGTTAAAGAGGGAAGGTTGGGTATGAGGATAGTAAGCCCATCCGGTAATAATAAATACCACTGCTACCGTTACTTAATGGTTTTAGTCTGAAGACCTATTTTCCATGGGGAACCTAAAGGAATAAAATAATTTTTAAAAAATTCCCTTTAGGTCTGTGTTAATGCATGAAACTAATTTGTTTAGAACTACAATCTTACAGCTCCAGTAGTATTATACAAAATCGTTTTAAAGGCGCTAACAACAGCAAGGCTGTTTACTGAGTTAGCCAATTACGTGCAGCAGGTATATGTCCGCGAATCGCTTAAACAGTAAATACCTTTGAGTTGCTAGTGTCTTTAAAACCACATCGTATTATTCACTTCATTAATTAATACTAAAATACTTTGTTATTTCCACTCATGAAAAATGAACCCTCTAAAAGTGAAGATCGAAGGTGTTAGTTTTTTGCACATAAGTGAACACAGTTAAGTAGAATAAAATAGGACCTTAAGATGAAGAGTGGTTTTGAGGTGTAACCTTTTCAGCTTGTAAAAAAATGTATTCACTATGTATAAATATATGATTACACATTTATTAGTAACACATGTATTCCACACTTTGTTATGTAAGTAATGAATATTTGGATACTGACTACTTAAAACAGCTAGTAATCAGATAAACATTCAGAGCCCATTTTCAGAATGAATTTGTATTCTGATTATTGATAATATCTTTCTGTGTTGAGAATTTACCCTACACAGCTTCAAGACCTATAGACTGATTCACTAAGCTACTGAGTAATGGAACCCACTTCGTGTGTAATAATTATCAGTAATTATTTACTTCTACTCTCGTTCTTTTTTATGCTATTGAAATAATCGATCTGTGTTAGAAATCCATTTTCACTTGATAGCCTTTAATCAGGAAGTAGTATCCTGAAAAATGCAAGGCGATATAAACATATCATCACAAAAGGTTCACTTTGTAAGACGAATAGGATACTTAGTTGTCTATCTTGATCTATGAATTGTTGACATTGGATGGTTGGAGGCAGTCTGTAGGAAACCCCGTCTTAGCTAGGTTTCGTGCTAGTTGGTACTTACCAGTGAGCAAGGTATATCTGCAACCTTGAAGGAACTCATTTGCCTTCTGAGGTTCGAACCCACGTCACCCAGTGCTGCAGTCACAGACTTTACCACTGAGCTATTCGGGATCGCGACTGACCTCCTGTGGGAATGTATTTGAATAGCTCAATGGTAAAATCTGTGACTGCAGCACTGGGTGACGCCGGTTCGAATCTCAGAAGGCTTCCTACCGATCGTCCTTAACCATCCAATATCAACAATCCACAGTACACTCTGATAGCAAGCCATCTAGAATGGTGACCACATTGCAAGCTTGACTGACGATAGAATTCAGTCTGCACCAAACAAGGGACTAGGCACACCACACTAGTAAATGACGAGTATCTAATCATAAAACTCTCTTAATCTATTATATCTCTATGTGTACTCAGTGCTTACTTTGATATTTGTATCATAAGGGATTTGAAAATATCATCCTTGTAATGTAAAATATTGCTCAGAATAAGAAAAAGGAAAAAATCAGGCATGTAAACTGTTACTTATCACCCTTCAAATATGATTGAATTTGACGTGAAACGTGGCTATCGGTCTGTTACCACAAATCAAGTCAGTGTCAGTTATAAGTTTGTCACACATATATATCAGTCTGCCAATCCAAGATAATCCGAAATCACCAGATACAATGTGTGATAATGCTTATTTACAAGTTATGTCTCTGAGCTTTTAGTTAGTTTCAGTCCAGACAATATTAAGAACTAACATATAGAAAAAAGAGAAACCTCTGAAAATCCCTGGAATTATTGAGAAAATATTTGTAGTTTAATTCTCCAACAAGCTTAACTATTTCATTTGATAGGGAAAGAAACAGTGTACTGTTGAGCTGCGCTAACCATGGAGAATATGGGTGTTAAGATGTCATTCTGGTTATATTATCCTCACAAGAGAGAAACAAGACCATTTTAGCTGATGAGCGAAAGAAACGTCCATATCATATTACTCTTTTGCTTTTGTTGAGGTAGAAAGATATGATAGTATTTGTAGTATTGAATAAAGTAATTACGTGACCAGAGTTTGAACTCATGCGTTTCAAATCCATATCCGTAAAGGCGATATCCGAGGCACTCAGAAATTAACTTATTGTCAATTATTGGTTTGGTAGGGATTTTGTTTGATTGTATGGAGGATTTCATCATGAGCTGACATCAGTTAGAGAACCACTGGAAAACCTGGGAGTACTGGACAGCTGTTTCGTCCTAGTTTGGGACTCTTCAGCAGTACGCACCCACCGGGATTCGAACCCAGGACCTTCTGGTTACAAGGCGAGCTCGTAGACCATTGAGCCACTGGGACCCGATCCAATGGTCCTTGAATTCTAACTTCTGCCAATTCACGACATAGCGCGACCATTTCGCAATGTCTTCTTAGATGAGTTACTGTCACATCTTCAACCTGCTGTACCCTACTGGTCACGGCTTCCCACTAGAACCCCAGGTTAACTGCCTGAATAGGGCCAGTCACTAGTGAGCATCAGATTAATTTTCAATTATTGGTTTGGTAGGGATTTTGTTTGATTGTATGGAGGATTTCATCATGAGCTGACATCAGTTAGAGAACCACTGGAAAACCTGGGAGTACTGGACAGCTGTTTCGTCCTAGTTGTTGTTATTTAGGTATGCGTAAGAGTGGAAGTTACAGACGACAGAAAGTTAAGTTGGACATTTTTCTTAGTATATTCATAACCTATTAAAAGTAATATGAACACAGTATGTATGGTTAAGGAATCGTCATACTTTTACTGTCTTATTGTCTTTTACTCAATGAATGTTAGTAATAAACCTGAGTAAACCATCAAGATTTTCTTTGTGCACTGAAGTTTCCGAGTGAGTGATCTTCCAGAGGAGGGTCGCTAGCTCCACAACCAATCCTAACTGTTTTACTGAACTTTGGATCAGCTGGAGAATCAGCAACCAAGTAAACTAAGCGACATCTAAGAGACCGTCGAATGACATCACACTCCAGGCCAAACTCTAATAGTACCAGAACGGAAAACGACGAGGGTAACATGGAGGAGATCGTGCGAGAAGGAGATCATTCATGTTATGAGTTATAATTGAAGGCGAAGTGGAAATTTGGACTGTAGAAGGATTCAAACCAGTAACCTCTCAACTGTTAGTCCAACATTCTACCAGCTAAACTACGACATGTATTATGTTCCACAGTATTAGCAATATACATTTTTGACAGTCAATTTTCACTTGACTAAGTTTATCTTCCGGTGGTTATTTCTTTCCTGTTTCTCATATCAGAAAAGTCCAAGTCCTACACATTATAATATTAAGCGAATACACGTTGAACGTCCACTTACCTACAGCTTCAAAAACACAGGAAGAATGAAACCATCCCCAATTTTAACTAATACTAATAATGGATTATGGCTTCTTCCTGGAGCGTATGAAGTTTGTAAAGTGGATGAAAAGTGAGTAAGTCATTTAGATTGTTCCTATACTGACTACTTATCTTCACAACAATACTAAAGCTGACAAAGTTGTTTTTCATTTATGATTTTCCTCAAATTTATTCTAACATATATTTAATAACTTATCTCACAAATGTGAAGACCGGCATTAGATTGCAGCTGGTCTTATTTTCTGAATCTCTATAAGGGGAGCTAAATGAGGCTTGTAGGATATTGTCTTAGAAGATGTATAATTCAGCATATTCATTTTGTTGCCTTTAGGGCTGGTCAGCTGGATATACCCGTTGGGTATGGTGGCAGTTTCGGTATTACCTAAACGCGAAACTCACCATTTATAATACGACGTAGCTATCGACTACTGACATTTAAAATAATATCTGAACGATGGACAAAGTGATTATTCAAGATTATTATATATTATTATTATTCCCTTGGGTTCCTAGTGGAACATAGGGCTTCAACTGCACGTCTCAACTTGTTTCTGTCTTCTGCTGTACTTTTCACCTGCATCCATGTTAGTCCATACTGTTTCAACTTCTATTCACATGATCTCCTCCATGTCACCCTTGGACATCCCATTCGCCGCTTCCCTTTCGGGTTCCACTCTAGCATTGGCCTGACGCGCGATGTCACCCAGTGGCCTTCTCAGCGAGTGTCCAATCCATCTCCAATTTCTCCTGCATATTTGTTGGGCGGTTGGTTCTTGTTTTGTTTCTTCTCATAGTTTCTTGTTGGCGATTCTTTCCGGCCATCTGATCTTCAGTATAGAATGAAGACAGCTGTTGATAAAGGTTTGCAACCTGTTGGAAATATTCTTTGTGACCCACCAAGTTTCTGATCCGTATAGAAGAATTGACTTGACGTTTGTATTGAAAATACGAATTTTGTTAATGATGCTGAGTGACGAAGATTTCCAGATTGGTTTCAGGTTGATGAATGTGTTTCTCGCCTTTCCGATTCTTGATTTGAAATCCTCGTCCGTTCCTTCTGTAGTTGAGACAATGCTCCCTAGATAAGTGAATGAAGTAACCTCTTTCAAATCCCTCCCGTCGATGGTGATTGGTGCTGGATGTTGCTGCTTTTGTTGTTGGTTGGTTATTTTCATAACCTCCGTCTTGTCTATGTTCACCTGGAGTCCTGTCTCTACTGCTTCTTCGACCAGTTTGTTCAAGAAGTTAAAGTTAATTCCCCATCTAACATAAGTGTTTCCTTATTCATCATTTTGACGGTTTCAGTTAACCTTCGACCACATAATAGTAACTGTTTTCAAGGATTGGTTTATAGGGATTTGATTTATCGGTTACAGGATTTCATCATGAGTTGACATCGGTTACAGAACCACTAAAAGACCTGGAAGTACTGGACAGCTACTCTGTCCTAGTCTGGGTCTCTTCGTCAGTACGCACCCATCACCAGTGGTCGAACCCAGGACCTTACAGTTACAATGCGAGGTCGTAGACCATTAAGACACTGGAACCCTATCCAATGGCTAGTCCATGAATTCCGAATTCTGCGAATTCACGATATAGCGCTACTGCTAGCCAATGTCTTTGGCGAGTTAATGTCCCCATGCGCAACCTGTTGCTTCCTACCGACCACGACTTCCCACTGGGACCCTCGTCTTGTAGTCAGAAGGTCCTGGGTTTGAACTAGGACGAAACAGCTGTCCAGTACTCTCAAGTTTTTCAGTGGTTTTCTAACCGATGTCAACTCATGATGAAATCCAGTAACTGTTTCGTTATTCTCTTGCATCACCACTCTCGAGATTACATCTTTCGACTGACTATTTACTTCTATACATTATTTATTAGTGATTTTATATGCACCAATGCCTAAAGTCGCCTGTTCATAATAACAAACCACTTTTGGGAAGTTACATGTTTAATGTATTCAGAAAACTAGTTGGTTTACGATAAGTGGTAGGTGCAAAAAAGCACATATCCGATTAATGAAACTGTTTAACTCCCGTTTTTTTTAAACTAAAGTAAACAGTAATATAAAAATATGCCTATTCCTTAAATATGATGGTGTCACTGTGATAGACATTGTTCTGTAAAACACAAATATCACAACTTCTTATTCCAATCATTCATGTCACTAATCACTGAAACATACATTTCCTGACATAAAATCATGTAAACTCGAAATAACTGTACACGCAAGTCGTGTTTTTGCATAGAAACTCTTGGTTTATAAACCTCTCTATCCTGAGCATAGATAACTCCATGCAAATCTCAACAATTCCGGATACTCTAACTGTTGTGATCAAACAATATATATATATATATGTATATGCATGTTTACTTTCTTCGGAAATCACATTTTCATTTTTCTACTTCAAATTCTTACTTGTAACTACTGTACATAACTTCCTTTTTATTCAACCGCTTTATTTTAACCTTAAACTAAAGAAGAAAAAACAGACTCTCCCTCCAAAATGTGCTGTTCTTTTTTTCCAGCCTATGCATTTCAGACAACTGAATAACTTTAAAAGTTAATCTCTTAAGAAAGGGAGGGGGAGAAATTGTTTCCTCCTTGCGACTCCTCGATGTTTTTTCTTGCTCAGAAAGAGGAAAAAAAGGAACTGATATTTTATGTAGTAGAAACATCTTTGCTTATGTGAAATATTCGTTGAAAAAAAGACGAAAGGCGAAAAATGTGGAATTATAAAACACCTGTTATGTCAAGTATTTAAAAGAATCGCTAACAAAAAACTGAGTCGACCGACAAAAAGTCAACAGAATACTTACACGGGGATATATTGCTGGAGTTTCGCGTGGGATTTAAAATAAACTGACAGATTATCATTATAAGTCTACAGGTATTTGTTCGCAACAGACAGGATGACATTAAATCTATTCACCATTCAATTTATGTATTTATATATCCATGCGTTTCTTCACCTAAGGTTTCATAAGTTAAATATGTTGATGACTGATGAGTAGATTCTGTGCGTAAACCTTCACTCTATAAAGACTAACGGGATAAGTCATATTGCTAGTCTATTCGGATACATATGTGCTTGAATCACAGGATCTATCCAACAAAATTTTTATTGTCATAAGCACTTTAATTATGTCCTTGAGTTGCAAAATGTACTCACATTTTCAATTGATTTTCAAACTGTTAGTGAGTATTTTGTGAAAATGAAGAGAGGATAACACAAGGTTTTAGTCTACTCTTCATATCTAATAGTATTGCGTCAGAGGATATACTACAGACTGGATGAAGAGGAAATATTATGCAGTAAATTGCGCCAAGAATTATGTACACTGTGTAAAAATTATGCTTAGAATAAAGCCTTTATTTATTTTATGAATAATCCCTACTCTAGTTCACTTACAATCCCATGATGTAACTTTAAACAAAATTTTGCTAAGTCATTCAAAAAGCATAGAATTATGAGTGAACTAGGGTTTGGACACACTTTTTCTAATAAATTTGAGTAGTCTTGCAAGATGTCGGTTAATTTCGTGAACAGCTTTGCAACATGTCTTATGCTGCCAGCCACCACTAACGCACTGACTGTATAAGACCTGGTCTTAAGTTATTCATATACCTTAGAATAAATGTGTTTTAAATAAATTTGCAACATACTAGTTAATTACAGTCATTATCATGCAGGGAAAGCTGATATTTATGTAAGATTTCCGAAAAAATTAGAATTATTTATAGGAGTTTGACACGGATTGATATCAGTTAGAGGTGCTTGCTAGTGACTTGCTACAGGACAGAGTTTCCTGGAGTTCTAGTGAAAAGTTGTGACCAGTGAGGTTCATCCAGTCTAGTGTGAAGATGGATGTCGCACCGACGACATTGGTTGGTGGTCGCGCTAAATCACGAATTGGTAGAAGTAAGAATTCATGGGCTGGCCGTTGAATTGGGTCCCAGTGGCTGAATGGTATACGAGCTTGCCTTGTAACCGGAAGGTCGTGGTTCGAAACCTAGTGGGTAAGTACTGCCGATGATTCACAAACTAAGATGAAACAGCTATCTAGTACTCCCTGTGGCTGGTTTTTGTGGTTCTCTAACTGATATCAATCCGCTGTCAAACTCGTATAGACAAATCTAATTCTTACAAAACAGACTCCTGAAAATTAGAATTACAAGACTGGTAATATATATATGTATATATATATAATCCTAATCATTCTCCCAGCGACGAGAAAATGACAGTATTTAGAGGAAAATCCGTGCTATAAAATTCAATCAAATTGACTGATTGTGGCGATATACTACATGATGAATTGATAGAATTTAGAATTCATAGGCTGTTGTATGCTGTCCCAAATGCTGAGTGGTACTGTATTCACTACTTAAATTGGAGTTCGTGTGTTTGATCCCTCGTGGTTTCAAAGAGGTATACCTACTGAAGAGAATCCTGAACTAGGTTGAAACAGCTGGTTACCAATGTTTTGTTGACTAATGTCGGTTCACGATGAAATCTAACCTGTAGTCAGTTTAATGCCTACAAAATATTACTTGAAAATTAATTCACTTTTGTTGAGCAAGAAGAAAAAAGTAAAACGTTAAATTTTTCTCTCATTGACGGGGTGGTTAATCAGCGAAAGACCACACACATACACACCGCAGTGTATTCTAGATTACAGCATGATTATAACGATTGGTGTCTGCAGTTATCAAAAAGAAAATATTCCAAGTATTTGACAAGTTATCTGTAATGTGAAAGAAAATCTCATCGTTATGATATATGTTGATATTGTTTGCGTACTTTGTTTACCTATATATTGATGTTCCTTTGATGTTGACAAAGTGCAGCCAGTTCGCGCGAGCGTGCGTATGTGTGTGTGTGTGAAGGAATGTATGAATGAAGTTCATCCGCCTTGGTCAGTTTGTTTTCACTTTCTCCTTAATCTCCTTCTTCTCGTTCGTAATTTTTATTCCTCATATTTATTCAATTTATTACTTTATAATATAATAGATTGAATCAATGTCAACGTACATATTCTTTTAAAAGTATGCCAAGAAAATTCAATGATATTTTATTCGGTATACAAGATAAAGTGAGTTTTGTTTTAAAGGATGCAAAGTTTTATTTATTATTATTTTTATTGTTTTCTTGAGTTCTGAGTGGAACATAGGGCTTTAGCAAAACACATCTCCACTTTGTCCTATTTTCTGCTGTCCTCTTCAGCCGACCCCACTACTGCTCATAATATCTCATCACCTGCTAGAACGATCTGCTCCACATTACCCTCGGATGATATACTCGTCGTTGCCCATTGGGATCCCACTCGAGAGATAGACTGCATTGCTTGCGTTGTCATTCACATCATTATTAAAATATGAGTTGAACAGTATGCCAGGAAAGTTTGTCGATTGCCCAGTGAAATGATAAGTTACCTAGGTGGGTGACCTTTATTCACATTTTAGCTGCAGATGTGGGAAAGATTATGTAAAAAGAACAACTAGATAATTTAATTAGTAAATCACTGAGCTCTTTCTTTCGTCTCTGTGAAGGGGTCAAGAGAAATGAATAAGAAGCTCGACATTCTCTCAGTTGATTGATACCTGTCATCAAGCGGACTGAATAACTTCTTTTCTGGTTATATAACATATTCCATCGAACCTTCCGAAAGAAGTACCAACTCATGTTTTGTAGATATAGGTTACTATGGGAATTGGGAGAAACAATCCTAATCTATCTGTTCAGAAGAAATTCGTTTAAAATTTCGTATATTCTTTGGCCTAGATGAATTTTATAAAGAAATCTTTCATTAAAACTTCTTAATCCTTTCTCATTCTTTACTTTTTTATACTCCCGTCATATACATTTAAATTTTAAATGATTATCCACTTCAGTATTACGCACGTTCTAGTTTCATAACATATTGAACTTATTTACCTACTGGAGCGTAAACATAGTCATTCTTTCTTCCTAATTCTTATCACCACTTGCATCAACTAGTAGTACTTTTGAAGTAATCTAGTGGTTGGGGACTAGCAGTGGAATTCAGGATGTACAAATTGTTGTATTTGGGATTCGTTGGCCGAATAATGCAGGTACATTCAGAAGACAAGTTCCAAATCGGACAATTCGTGCATCCTGGATTGCACTGCGAGTCACCATCCACTAGATTACTTCGACTTAATTCTCAGATATCGTCAAAGCGTCCGTACTAGGAGCCAACATGTCAATAGAGGTTGCAAATTTTGGTTTAATCAGTCAACAGGGAAATCAAAAGTTAATTATAAACAAATAATACTTGTACTTTTGTTAACGTAGATATTTGTAGTGCCGTCAGCACTAATACGAATCAAAACAAGCAACGACGATTAATAAAGCAGGATTGAATGAATTCATCAAATTTCGGTAGAACTCCTCTTCATCTGAATACTCTACATACAGAGACATATATACTATTGGAAATACATTGGGAGATATAAGGCTGATAAGCAAATAAACTACATTGAATCAGTCGTGCAAAACGACACGTGTGAATGTTTTTCAGGTCATGTTCAAATAGATAAGGGGAGAGTGATTATTAGAGATTATAATTAAGATAAAGTGCATTACGCTTCAACTACATCACTTGAATAAACAATTATTTATTTGAGAATAAATCAAGAACAGCTAACTGAGTAATATTAACAATAATAGTTTTAATAATAATGCTGAAATGAGTAAAGATAGTGTTACTGATAAAAGATAGCTTTAAATCAATCAGTGATAATAGGAGCTAGAATAAAATATTAATACTACTAATAATAACAGTTAATTAGTAAAATATATTACTACGGTAGATTCACAGTGATGTTCATTTCCTTTTTGTACACAGAAACCGGGTTTGTAAACTCGAATTGCACAAGCCTCCGCAAATGCAAGCAAATAATTTCCTATTTCCTTGTCTGTTGACAACAGTGAATGACTTAACAGAGTCAATATCGTGTCCGTAGTCCACAATATGCTTTTCTTCTTGATATATTCTCAAATGACTAACTGTTTATTTAATGGTGATGTAGTTGAAGAGTAATGCACTTTATCTTAATTATAATCTCTAATAATCACTCTCCCCTTATCTATTTGAAGATGGCCTGAAAAACATTCACACGTGTCGTTTTGCACGACTGATTCAATGTAGTTTATTTGCTTATCAGCCTTATATCTCCCAATGTATTTCCAATAGTATATATGTCTCTGTATGTAGAGTATTCAGATGAAGAGGAGTTCTACCGAAATTTGATGAATTCATTCAATCCCACTTTATCGACCTCTGTTGCTTGTTATATAATTCAAAACATTTTACATTTATTCTGGATACAAAGATATCCATTATTGGTTAAAATTTCATGTGTTTATGCAAAGTTATGTATATTAAAGCTTTAGGAAGATCTGATTAGAAGGAGAATTACTCATCAGTGTCTTATTTTTTTGGTTTCAACGACGGAAGTCTTTCATCTTAAAATTAATCCAAGTTGATTTTTCATTCTTCAATAACATATCCATAGTCATCTGATAAAACTTTAACATGGTGGTCTTGAAAAGCCTCTCCACCTAGTAAATTTCAAAACGACATTCAGAAGACAAATGTTATCAAATGTTTTTATTACGTCATTTCCCCACGGCCGGGGTAAAAATGACCATGGTTGAAAATATTTTACTCTGTGATAAATAAGCACCACTATCTACCAGTTTTCATGATAACTTCACTAGTCAAGAGTAGACTTAGAATGAAGATCCTAATTTTCTGTATACATATTTCAAGATGCATATAATTAGTCCCAATTGCTTCCATTGCATTTGATAAGGTTGAATTGAAAATGTATGAAATAGCATCGGCTGCAATATTTGACAATGCTTTAGGCTGAAAGGCTGATAGTGATTTAATTATAAGGATTTGAAGTCATGGTCGATGGATCTCTATCCAACAAATTCCTAACTTCACCGTGAGAATCAGACGAATTGCCAGATTTTTTTCAAGACTGATTAAAAAATCTTTTTCATTAATGAATTAGGCGAGATTCCCAGTAAGAATTAGCAATATATTACATTCGGTGAGAGTGGAAAATTCTGATGGTCATATGGGGAGAATTAAGTAAAGTGTTCAAGGTGGTTACTTACAAATAATGCGGTTTATTTCTTTATCTGTTCTTCAGGATTTATGTCTATCTCCTGGCCAATACAATCCGTATAACGAAACTTCAAGATATCATGCTCAATCTCCATCTTACCATAGTGTATTCAAGTCAAAGAATTCAAGGTCTGTAACTAGAGAGAAACAAGTAAGCAGAAACATCTTACTACAGATCTGAACAGATAAATATTTACTGTTTATTATCATGTAATATTTTGTGAACCAGTATTTGAGTCGCAGTCAATGTAACTGATTGTATCCCCAAGTGCTGATCACATATTTTTCCAGTTTGACGAAACATTACACCTTTACATTTAAATTTGATAATTGATATGTAGTTCACATTCTGTCAGGTTTGTGCTTTTTAGAAATCCTTGGTTAAAAATCAGAGAAATGAATCCTCAGTTTCATGTTTGAGTCTATTTCAGGGTATGCTGAAGGTCCTGGGTTCGAATCCCGGTGGGTGCGTACTGCTGAAGAGTCCCAAACTAGAACGAAACAGCTGTCCAGTACTCCCAGGTTTTCCAATGGTTCTCTAACTGATGTCAGCTCATGATGAAATTCTGTAACCAATCAAATCCCTACAAACCAACACTTGGAGACTCAGAAGATTATTGGATTCAAATCCAGTGGCTAAACTGCTGACCGGCTAGCTTATTAACCTCAGTGTCCTCAGCTTGTCCACTGTTAGGGTGGTAGATGTGCATATCTTTAGATAATCCTAAACGGTATTGGATAGCTATTCAATACTTAGAAAATTTAAGATTTACAAATCATTTCAACGCTTTTATGTAGCAAGTTATAACAGCAGAATTTCATAAATTCATAAATTTCATAAAATTTCTCAGCTTTTCATATAATATTAGGTGATGTAGGTGAACATTTATAAGACAAATTAAGGTACTGAATGAGATAAGGTAAAATACAAGTTGATCAAATGGACAGAAGATAAGAAAGCCAGTAAGTGGATTAGTTCATTTTACGGTAGAACAGATAGGATTTAACGGAGTATGAGTGCAGCAGCATATTAACAATGAGCAAAACTGGAAATTATAAATATGTATCAATAGGACTGTAAATTTTAAATAACAGTTATGTAATACAGAAAGACTTAGTAAGTTAGAAACTGAAATGTAATCAGACGAGTAAACTGAGTGGCACAATATATATTTGAGGGGATTGGGTAGAACTCAGCTAAAACTGAACGTGAGTCAAGTTAAAAACAGTGATAATGAGGGGTAGAATTGTAATAGGGTATGTAACTTTCTTGTCCATAAGTGTATTGCTTTTTCTCCCTCCCCCGTCACCCTACAGTATTCAAAAAAATAAACATAAGGTAAGTAAAATTTAATAACGGAAATAATAATGACGACAGTCGTAGTTATGGTAACAGATATCGGGATGAAAATAATGATGATGAGACAAGCAGGGAAACATGGAAACACAATAAAATTAATTAGTTATGTAGTTTTAAATAGAACAAAAAGAAATCGACTGAGAAGCTTGATAATAATGTGAAATCGGTTAAATTGGGGCTGTTAATAGGAAAATGATTTTTTTTTATTGGCGAAGACAACGATAGTAATACGGTGTTAGATCAATAGCCAGTAATGGAAAACTCATTTCATTTATAGGAAACAGAAACATTTTTACATTTATAAACATAAAGTATTCTAGAAAACTTTGGTTCGATTCGTCAGATTTAGAGATAAAAACTTGGTATTACTATAAGTTAATTGGTGGATGGTGAATAGCACTGGAATCCAGGGTGTGCATTTCGTCCTATTTTGGAATCGTCAGGTGAATATACCTGCATTCCTCAGTGAGTGAAGGTGTTCCCACCGAGGCTCGAACCCAGTGCCCATATTTTCAAATACCAAATCTAAAATCAAATTAAACAAATAATAACATAAGAGGTGGCTCTCGTGGCCCAAGTGGTCCAGTGGATAACGCTTTGGCGTTTGAAACTATGGACACTGGGTTCGAGCCTCAGTGGGATCATAATCACTCACTGTGGAATGCAGGTGCATCCAGTGACGAGTCACTAATAGGATGAAATGCGCATCCTGGATTCCATAACTAGTCACCATCCACCAATTAACTTCTAATAATAATAATTTTGCTTTATTCCAGAAACAATATTAGTGGTACAGTGTGGAATTTTCAGCACGTATCTACAATATTACATCTAATTTTATCAAACATTTAAAAGGAGTATTTCAAAAAATAAATATAAAAACAAGAACAACAAAAACGAAAAAACGCAATAATAAAATAAAATGCGAAAAAAATACCAAGAAGTAGAAAGGAAAATAAACAACATAATAAATAATATCTCATTATTGGCTAGTGGAAGCTATGATTTGTTTATGCGTGGTGACAGTAAAGCTCTAATCGTAGAAGAATTTATGAAATGATATCTAAGAATGTTTATCGCCAAGATGATCTGTTAACTTAGGTTGAAACAACACTAAACAATCATGAAATAACATTTCAGGGTTTTTATTGTCAGCTCTAATGCGGTGTTTGTAGTGGTAATGTGGGTAAACCTGCATAATACAAAATTTTAAGATAGTGATAAGGGCGTTCACAACCAAGATTGTCAGTTAATATTGCCGAACAAAAAACAACCCAAAACTAATATTACATGATGGTTAATGACAGGACAGTTTTGTAATACTCATAGTGATAATATAGTCGGAACCAGTAGATACACAAAAGAAGGAATACAGTAAAGTACAAAAAGTAAGCCAATGTTAATAATTTAGGTAGCTTAGTATGTTTAAGAAGGAGTTCACTATAGAATGTAAGATAAAAGAGAAAGAAAAGAGCCTAAAATTATGTTGTTAACAACAAAGTAAGTCATAGGTTTCGCGCTTAACATTGTCTCTGTCACTTAGAACACGGGCCAAATATGGTATCGTTGAGTTCCTGTAGTTGGTTGTGCGATCATAGGTAATTTTATACTGATTTCTGGTTCTACCTGATGAGATATAAGGAGAGAGTTGGGAATAGAGGGGGTGTTGGAGGTCGGAGAGTATGGTTTTAGACCATTTTTCGCATGTATTGAGATGCCTATCAACTAATGTACTGACGAGCTGACTGAGTTTTACACCACTAGTCCTACTAACTACCTTCAACATCCTTCTCAGGATGGTGTAGTCCTTTTTCAGTAGACTAGGAAAGAATAACGGGGAGCAGTAAAGTAGAATAGGTAAGATACGAGAGTTGACAAATTGTGAAAGTAAAGGTTGGGTGATTCCAGATTGTCTAAGTTTCTTAATGTAGTAGGTTAGACAGAACACTTTCTTAGAAATCGTTAGGATATGAGATGACCAAGTTAGGTCGGAAGATAGAACTAGACAGAGGTGTTTTGCATTAGACTTAGTTTCAATTTTAGTCCCCTCAATGCAACAGGCTTCATGAGTACTAACCAGTGTTTATAGATCTTGTTTATGCCTAAGGGAGAAGTCAATGGTCTGGCGTTTTGAGGGATTCAGCAATGAGGCCATTTAGTTTGGACCACTGACTGATGTTCCACAGGAAGCTATTTAATTTGAAACAGTCTGACTGAGACTTAATGGGAAACGATACAGACAGGTCATCTGCATATTTGACGAAGTTGATTTTGTCTGAAAGATGTAAGTCATGTAAGAAGAAGGAAAAGAGAAACGGAGAGAGAACAGCACCCTGAAGAACTCCAGCTTTAGTAAGCAAAGGAGAGGAAGATACACCATTATATACCGTGTACTGCATTCTATTAGAGAAGTAAGAGTGTAGCCAGCTGATAGCCCAGGGCTCAGTTTGTGTAAGGCTAAGCTTGTTTAACAATAGGCCCCTAGGAACGGAGTCGAAAGTAGAAGTATAATCAAGGAACGTACGACGGACAAACTTGGCCCCTTTGTCTAAGGAGGATACAATGTTGTGATGAAACACAGCAGCAGCGTCCAAAGTACTTCTACGCTGTTTGTAGGCAAACTGCTTTGGATCGTTTGAGAAGCTAAGGGAGGGAACAAGTTTTATTAACAATAGTTTCTCCATTAGTTTCAAAAAAGGAGAGGTAATAGCGATAGGTCTAAACTTAGCATTATTAACAGAACCTGACTTGGGTACAGGGATGATTTTAATATCTTTTCACAGAGAGGATACAACATTATTAGAAAAAGAAGTGTTGAAAATGTTTCTAAGTGGGTTACTTAAAATATCAGCACATTTCCTTAGGACAGTGGGAGGTATACCATCAGGGCCTAGACTCTGGGATGGTTTAGGAGATTTTAAACATTTAAGAACATCAGAAGTTTTAAAACTATGAAAGTCACTGGTCATGTTATTTGTTACACTGAAGCTAAAAAGTACATTAGGAGGGCGGATAAAAGATCTATTAAGAGTATTTACATCAATAGAGGGGGCAAAAGTACTATGCTTACCACAACCTGTAATTTCTCTGAAAAGCTTCCACATGTTCCCTGGAGTTTTACATGACAAAATTCTTTGATTATAAATATTGTTTAGCTTCTTTACTTCGGGTTTAATTTGGATGTTTATCATCCTAAGACCAGATTTATCCTTAATCTTGTACAGTCTCTCTTTTTCTCTTCGAAGCTTTTTGAGATGAGGGGAAGAGAAACGGTTTACTCTTTTGAAAAGTATCTGTTTTGGACAGCATACATCAAGGCAGAATTTAAGATAGTCAGTCAAATTGGAAATAGTATCATCCAGTGTGCGTTCAGTGAAAAGCTCCCAGTTTGTGTCATTTAACATACGTCTTAGTTTGAGCACATTTTCTTGTGAGTAACATCTTTGTTGTGTTTTTCTGGACAGATATGAGGAGATATTAGAATGAGATCTTCTATATATCTTAGGTAATATCCGACTAATAAAATGATCAGAGTTCATAATAGGAGCACGTCTGCGTGCTTCATATATTTCCGAATCATTAATAAATACTAGATTCAGTGTTTTATCAAGTCGAGTTGGAAATTTGACAATATTGACATGACCTAATGATTCAAGAAAAGAACAGTCACATGTATTGAAATCTCCTGGGACAACTGACAAACAGTTTTCAAGATGTGTAACAGCGAATGCTGTGAACTCATCAGCAAAATCAGATAGATCCGAGGCAGAACAACCAGGAGTAACATAAATGTTTGAGATGAAGACGTATTTAAACTTGGATAAGTGTTTCGGACGACATTTGACTGTTATACAATCAATAAAGTCACTAGAGAAAGAAAATCACATATTATTTGAAGTTGACCACTGAGAATGAATGGAGGTTGCAACACCTCCACCTCTTTTCTTTCTAGAGCATATTCGATCTTGTCTAAACAATGTAAAACCATGTAGAGAAACCAGGTTGTCATTATAAAGTTCATGGAGCCACGTTTCTTGTAATGGAACTATCGCCGTATTGTGATGAGTATCAGATGACAAGAGAGACTAGAGATGCATATTTTGTTATGAAGTGAACGGTAGTTTGGACTGACAATAATAGGAATAGTTGTGCAATATAAAGGTGTCCGTTTGAGAGCACGTTGCCAACCACCATGATGTTTTCTCTTAGTTTTATTAGATGCATGAAAGTCATATGGAAAGGTAGCCCAGGTGTCAAACAGCCGCCATTGAAGCATCTGCACAAGAAGCCGACATGTCAACCTGAGACCGAGCACTTCGGTTCAATCAATCGACGGGAAAATCTAAAATTGAATTCAACAATTGTTATTATGTTTATTGAAATAAGATGCATGGCATTTCGAAAGACATCTCGTTTCACAACTTTCAGCCTTGTGATAGCAGACTAACAGATTGGAAAGTATTCAATACTTACTAGAGGTTTATTTATCTGCATAAACTTCGGGAGTATATGTTCTCTGTGTAAACAGACATCTAGGTTGTATTGAAGATTCGAAATTGTTAACAGTAAAATGCTTTTCAATGAAATCTATCATTGATAAGAGAAGTTACCTAGAACCTACCAGAGACATAATATCCTTTCTAAACAAAACGTATAGTCTGTATTATTTACACATCTTATGTTGAGGCAGTGTCCACCCTTTGTCAATTTGTGTTTCTCTGATTTTTAATGTTCAGGAACATTGAAAACTGAAGAAATTATTTAGTAGTTACATGTTTCACATATTTAAGGACAAAACACATCTTGAGGGGTGTCATTTCCCCAGACGCAAACCAACATGTTCGTTGTTAAAAGCAATAACTTGAAACTTCTGAGAGTTAAACAGTTTTATCCTGAAGAAATATCTAAGTCAAATAGGGTGACTATTAACTTGTGAATGCCAGCTGATATTAAGACGATGGTTTAGTGAGAGAATTCACATTATACATGCATAGTTAGCTGGTGGCAAACACAGCAGAGAGGTAAGTTAAGGCCTAAAGCTACAAACACCACACCGTAAAATAACATCACCGCCAGTGAAACTTGAAAAGACTTGAATCTCTGTGTTCCGCTTAGGAGGCGAAGGAATGAAAACGAATTTCTTCTAGGAACATGCAAACAGCCAAATTAACCATTTTAAGCTCCTTTTAATTTCTAACAAACTCACTTTTTAGAAAGTTTGAAGAAATGGAGTTGCTAATTGCAGAAAAGTGGAGACTGCACAGAAAATGATATGTGTATATACCCGAAAAACTGTTACAGTATCCCATTAAACACATAATAGCTTGATGAGCAGTTATTTCCTGCAAAGTTTAGTAAAAATCATATCGGTTTTCGTATTCATTTTAGTCAACAAACAATACTTTCAATCGACTGAAGCAGTGAGATTAGTATCGGTGCGATAAAAGAGAGATCTTCACCACGCATTCACTTCTAAGCTTTTTAAAACTTTTTCCATCCTATGAAATCATAACCACACATTTTGGACAAACAGCCTATATATATATATATAAGTAATGGGTGAGTATCATTCCTTTTCATCCTTTTCTTTTTGCCGCCTCAAACTCCTACTAGATAGTTGTAAATGAGTCACAGACTCAATCTGACATTTTTACTGTCTACAAACAGATTTATGCTATTCGACAATGATGAAAATATTCATATTTAAACCTAAACTTTATAGGTCACTTGGTGATAATTTATCAACTAAACATTAGCTACAAAGTGCATGCAATAGGACATTAAATTATCCTTCTTTCATTTTCACACATCAGTTACGACTGTTATGACGAAATTCTGACTCGCATTTGAGTTCGTAGTCAAGAATATGAGTCCTGGAGCATCGTAATGTCTAAACTGTAAATCATTCTGATATTCTAACTATTATTCACTGTGTATTACTACTTAAACTTGCGTACAGTAGGTTAGTGGTTCAGCGGTAGAATAATCATCAACCATGCAGGTTGTCTGGGGTTCAGTCTTCGGCCAGCGCACATTTTACCTCCCTAAGTTGTCTGTGAACCCGACAAAGAAGGAAGGTTGGGCGTGAGGCTAGCAACCCCACCCTGTAAAAGAAAACACTGATAGTCAAACTTCAAAGCCCCAGATTGAAGGCCTATATTCCACTTGGAATACAAAGTGATAAAATAAAATTTAAAAAATTTAAATATTATCTTATGTAATACAATCTGTTCAAAACAGCGTTTTCTTTCAAATAACCACATAGTTCATAGTTCAATGCGAATTATTTTCGAATTTCGCTTGAAGTATTATCCATACATGTACACACTTTCTTTTGTAAAGGACCAGGTGCCACCTCCTGGGGCTTATAATTTATATTCTCGAGAAAACAGTGCCATAACTTCACCATTTGTCTCACAAGTACCAAGATTTAGACGGACAAAATCAGTGAGTATTTTTTCTGTTCTCTGTTAAACCGTTAATTTTAAATTTAATGTTTACACATTGACAAATGAAGTCTAGACTTATATTGAATATTTAAATGGAGAATATTTCAGTTATGTGTGAAAACCAGGGGTAAAGTGTTTCACTGTATTTTTGAACGTTTATTTCTAAGTTAAATTAAGTGCGTCAATGGAACAGCTGTAGAATGCCCACCAGTCACGCCGCATATGGTTCGGGGTTCGATCCCTGGCTGCAAACGCACTCCTTTACCTCACTAAATCAGTATTAAGACTGGTAAAGAGGGAAGGTCCAGCAAGAGATTAGCAGCCCCATCCCGTAAAAATAAATACCACTGCAACTGAAAATTCAAGCCTCTAGCTTGAAGCCCTATTTTCCACTGGGAATGTAAAGGAATAGAACAATAAATAAGCAATAGAGTTGAACTAAGGGATATAAGTAAATATGAGTTTACAACGTAACCTAATATGAAGAGACTGGATTGATGATTGCAACTCCTGTAACAATATATGTGTAAACATCCTAACTTCAGTATGATCCAGATATGCAGAGAACTAGATAAATCAATTCACAGTATTTATTAGAACAGAGTCGATTCATTTTCTCATAATTAGATGGACTATACGGAAATAATAAACGAACAGATATATAACGATACTTCAGTGAACTAAAAACAAGCGCAGAGGAAAAACTTCCTTAAATTAAGACTGATTTTAGTGTTTACAACTGTGTTTATGGTTAACGATGAATGATTTCGAGTATTAATAGCAACATCATCAAACGATTGTCTCTTATTGTCTTAAGGATTGAAGTTATACAGCGTTTACCTCCCTGCATGGCTTAGAATAAGCGTAGAAAAATCTGTTACTCTTTTACAAAGTTTAACGTGATCAGTCCCAGAGTTTATGCACCTTGGTCTTAATTCAACTTATGTTAACCTCCTAAAATGTTAATAATCCCATGTCTTTTTTATCACTTTGAGTTCCAAATGGAACATGATCCTTCCGGCTCTAGCTGTGAAGTTTCATTAGCAGTGGTGTTTAATTTTTGTGGGGTGGGGCGGCTAACCTCACTCCCATCACTGCCTTTTTTGGCTAAGCAAGGTCTGGGAGTACGTGGGCAGATGATGGACCCCCCGCACCACGTGACTGCTCAGCGTCTCTTATTTGGCAAGCTATACAAATTGCATTTATCATGCAATACTCTTCATCTTAATTCAATCCTACTGTGCATGAGAGATACTATGAGAATAATTATTATTGAAAATATGTAATGCTTCATATCTTCTGCTGTTAAAGGTAAGGTCTCATCGTCTCTCTTTAAGCCTGGTGGACTGTGTGGTGCATCGGATATGAAGAACTTGAAGCTTTCTAAACAAACCTCATAATTAATGAGTATCGCAATGAATGAATACTTAGTTCTCACCTAATCTCTGAGCAGAAAAATCTTTTCTACAAATCCGGTTATAATAGTTAACATACTTAGGATTGTTCTGTCTAAATCCATCAATAGACAGCTTACATTTCGTATTTACGTAATATATATATATATATTTAAGCTACAGTCCATTACCCATGTACACCTGTGGCTGTACTTATTATTCTATATACTATAATTAATTTCATCTTATTGGAATTCGTAAGACAACCTCCAAAACTAATCATTATCTATACTGAATTTAGATATCGTTATGAGTTGCCATCGTCTAAGGTGCTTTTGAGAATCATGGAGCAATGGACAGCTGCTTTTGCAGTTTGAAGCTCTTCAAAGATGACCACTCGCAATCCTGAAGGATCGAATCCAGGACCCTTCGACGTTTAGCTGACCAGCCACTTAGAATGTAATGGCCCACGAATTCTCACTACTTACAATTCTCTATACAGCAGGATGATAAAGTGCTCGCGTTAAAGCCTGAATGGCTTGGACACCTCTCAGAAAGTGCGTAACTAGAATGATACCACTAATTTCCTCATAGGTTTTAGTGGTTGTCTAAGCGACTTCCAACAACGACAAAATCTGTGCTGGAATAGATTAATGCCCTACAAATACAGCATTTGAATTTAACCTAGTCTGACTCTGGAAAGCGTTATATTTTAGATTCACGTCGATGACTTCCATTTGATTCATTTTCAAAGTAATCTAAGAGGCAGTAGTGAACTCCTCCTCAGGGTTACAAATTGGTCATGTACATGTAGTCTAGACACCGACTGTATATCAATCGAAGCCTTAACTCCATATTCAACAATAAATGTTTTCTTAAGCTAATCTGTTGCGGCTTCACTTTCTAATTAAAACACATTTCAATGACATCTTATGCCTCTTGAAGGAAATGTTTTTCTTTGATGCGTCATTTGCTTTTCTTTTTTCTCCCCCTTACTCCTACTATGTTCATATAGTGCAGTCGATTCCGCTTTAGGGTGTGGAAACATATACGGCTTCAACTTCCATTCATAATTAAATTTGTATAATTTTTGAAATTTTTTTATCACTTCCTGTTTCTGCACAGATGCTATGCAAGTGAACATGTGATATATTTCCTCTTTCCCACCAATTTATTTTTTATGTAAACTTTATTTCCAAGGTACCAACCAAAATGAATAATCTTTACAACAAAATTAGGTTGGTATTACGGACGCCATTAGTATGAGGTTGGGAAAACCAGTCAACTGAAAACTTTATTTGACGTAAATTTCATGCTCTTTGAGTTTAGTCAACTAGCCTATCCCCTTTCGAGATTGGGATATGCGTCACATAATTCTGAAATCACATTTATTACCGATACTGTGATAAGATTAACTGCTTTATATAATCTGGTTACTGCTTGGTAAGCAGTTTGGCCTTAGATTCCTGTATCAGCTACCAAGCAGTTACCACTTCGATACACACGCTTTTACAAGAAAAATACCCATTAACTAACAATCATGGATTTAGATTGGACCCTGAAAACTTATTGGTGTAGCTATTATTGATGTAGTTATACTACCACTATTCGAATTCAGCACAATCTAACAGCATTTTATATTGAGCGTCCCATAGTTGAGTCCGATATGTGCATTGTACCTTAACAAATGTAAACCTCTTTAGAAAATCATATAATTAGTTAATAAAAAAGTTGATGTTTGTCATCAGTTAGCCGAGAACGTTATTGTAAGCACACTGAATACTAATAGGTGAACCACAATTTATCCTGCAGCACCAAGTCAAAACATCTTGGGCCCCTCATTACCCATCAGTTCTTTCTGGATAGTTAGAAGCAATCTAATTTCAAAAAAATTGAAACAGATGTTTCCTCAGTCAGCTGACGGTCTGAAAAGAAAGTCCAATTCCAGGATATCGTGACGATTGCTTCCTGCTATCAAGCATCATTTCAAAGAACACTTCATTGATAACCGACCGAATGTGGTCAACCCTTAAGGCTAGACAGCCTGAAATCAGATATTTATTAGCAAGTACTCTTCACCAATCAAGTGCTTCTATTTTCCACATGCTATTGGACAACTATTTTCAATAACTAACCATAAAGATTAGGTCAACTAAGGGATCCTGTTGACTATGAAGTATTGTTGAACTGTTGTTGAAATTCATCTGAATCGCTTACTTAACAACAATAGAACGTTAGTTTTATTCTGTTGATCAGTAGCTATAATTCGCTGTGTGATGATGAATTTCATATGACAATTATCTAACAATGAATTCTGTTACAGTTTGTTCCAGGTCCTGGTACATACAACGTGAACGGCGAAGCACAGCAACCTGAACGATTACTAAAAATGGGTACGCACTGTGGACTGTTCTTCCGAGATTATAGTGACGAATTTGATGTAAATAATAAGTGATACATTGAAAATGTAAAGTCATAACTCTCATAGTCTTGTTTTAGTCTTGAACTTTCAATCGATGAATGACGTAATATGCAGAATACTTTCATCCTTTTAATGTAATTTTTCTGTGGTATTATTTACTTGTACTCGTACTTTCCCTGTGACATTACTGCTGGACTGAATCGATCGGCTTCCTCTTGGCAAATGGGCTCCTTGAACACATGCCTCAATATTGTTTACTATACTTATATTTATTATATTTCCAAATTTATCTAATGCATTGGGGTTCACGGACTGCTTATGATAGTCCACATCAGGATATTATATAAGTTGCATCATCACTGTTTAATTCAGAACACTGTCAAGATATCTCTTTGCATAGTACCAGGATGAATCTATCAACCTAAGTATCGGTAATAGTGAATATCACCAATAAAAGCAATGACTGATTAGAGTTTTGTTGTGACCAGTCATTCGTCGGTATTCAACGCTGAGTAAGACTATTAATGAAGATATTGCACAAGATATCTAAATATATGTGAATCGGAATTCTTCACACACGACGTTAAAATATCTATCCGAAAAAAATGTGCTTTCATTAGAGAATCGCTAATGCAAAAGTAGTCACTCCATTTGAAGCAATTACTATAAGCGTGTTCCGAAAAGAATACATCCACTTTTGAATCGATTTTCTGAAACTGATTACATGAAAATGTCACTTAATAAGAAGAATGACTTTCCAGTTTTCATCTAACTTCTATTGGACGCGGTCGGCGTTTGACTACTTAGTTTGTTGATGTTTCAATGCTCGGTAATAAGATTGATGAAATCATATTCTTGTTACCGATAGAAATAGTATTGGTTTTCAGGTTAAACATATTATAGAACATTCGTCCGAAAGAGATTTCAAGCTGAGATGTGTATCTGTGAGATAGTTAGCACTTTTTAAGATGGTAACGAAGGATGAAAGAATAACATCGGTCGAGATGAGCTAACAGTCCAGAAATCCAGAAGTGTGCAGAATGAAGAGGAAGATACAGTCACTGACTTGTTCTACGTTTACCCCGATTTTCGACAGTCTTATCCTGTTGTACGAACACCTGCCTGTAGGTCATCTAACGAGCTAGCCTTAACAGTGTTGCGTTCTCTTTAGATTGGGTGAAGTTAATAGGGCTTGAGGACAGATACGGACACATGACATCAGGTATAAATACGTTTGACAAACAGTTTCATTCCGGCATCCAAACAGTGATTCGCTTCCTTTGTAACCTCAATGATCGGCAGCTCGTTATTGGAATCATGGAATAGAAAAGTCAAAACCCTAAATGAGTTAAATAAATTTTGAATATTAAAGTTCAGTATACAGCAATTTTGTTTCAATTTAATCAATTTAAACTATGACTAACCGATCTCAGGATCTTAAAGTTAAGTTGACACTTTTTTATTCGACCGAAACATATTGGTGATGCTTACAGCCTTTTTTAGTTTGTTAGTAGTGTTAGATGACTTAAATTGATTCGTAGGCAAGCTCCCACCGGGGTTTCATGATTATTGTCACTCATCAGATCGAGGTATCTGCAAACTAACACTATGCCAAACGTAAACTTCGATCATTGAGATATTAAGGAAGGTGTTTTGAACGAAGTCAGATTTATATCCAGCTGATATCTGTAAAGCTAAATGAGGACTGCAAGATACCTCTGTGGCTCAGTTATAATGTCTCTCTTCTTTCGAGGTTGCTTATCCTGACATCCACCATGCAAATAATGTCAAGCAATTTTCAGGTCTTTTAAGCTGTCATTATCAATTTAAAGGGAACTGATAACTTGGGATGAATATAAAGAATGTCAGAAACTTCATTCAGTATAAAACGACATTCGTCAACACAAATACAGTCTTAGCTGTCAAGTCATAAATAATTATGCAAAATGGAAGTCGAAGTTGGTCATTTGTCCTTACACAGTGAAAGTAAGTAACCTGATGGTTAAATTCGAAACTGTCATGTACAGAGAAAGCGTGTTTTTGATATCTTTTTTAAAAAGGAATTTATCATTTGAAAGGAGATTCAAGACCGTACAATTTTCGAAATGCTGTTTCAACCTTCTATCTGTGTTTGATATAAATTCATAGAGTTACTCGTTGTTGTATTACAAATGTTAAAAAAAAGTCCTCAAATGTTCAAAAAGCAATGAATGGTCACATAAGTTCATTATTCATTATGGACGGTCACAAAATAGGAGAATGATGGTTGAAGTTGTTGAGGAGGAACTTCTACTTAATTCGATTTGATTTCGCAGATTCCATCACATCTTATGGAGTCAGTTAGAGACTGAACAGTAAACTAGGGTGAATGTAGTGAACTACTAAGACATCGAGACCATATAAAATGAACACTACCTCTTCAGATGGAATTTGACAGGTCACCCTACTTCAGCACTGCTTAAGTACGGTTCAGATTTTGGTACATACGTCAACAGACTGTAAAGAAAAATCCGGATAATATCTTAGCCCTCACATAAAACTCGGAACAACAACGTGTGGTATATATATTGGTGATGATATTGTACTAACTTTGTGTCCTTACGAAAAAAAAACAAAATTCTCAGTATGTCTTTCGAGTTGAATGATATGATACCATACATTAAATATGGTATTAATAGTCAGGAATCTCTCTAAGAAATCCTCTTCATCAATGGCTTTGCGAATGACGGCATTCATCAAAAACATGTATCTTATAAAAATCATGTTCTCTTTTAGATGTGAACTCGTACATAACCTTAATTATGTTTGATACAGTTTTTAGGCTATTTATCCTATAGCTAAGCACCTGTATGGTTAAAGAATACACGGGATAACTGTGAAAAAGTCTTACTTATTCTATCTTGATAAGTAAAGTATTTTGATTGGACGCTGGTTAGTAACTAATGTAGCGTGTCTATTCCTTTGTTTGGTTTAGACTGAATTCTATCAGTCAAGTGTGTAATATGGCCACCGTTATAATTGGCTCACCATTATGGTTCACTCTGAGTTGTTGATATTAGATGGTTGGAGGCAATCGGCAGGAAGCCTTGCTTGACCTATGTTTGCAATGACCGTGAGTGAGGTCAGCTACATAGGTCACACTAGTAGGTCAGGGGTAGTCAGATTGTCGGAACATAAGAATTCAGCTAAGGTAAGAATTGTTGACCCAGAGAAGATAAGTAATTTAGAAAAAAGCTCAGCAATTGCACTGCATGCATTTAAAATACACAACCATACAATAGGGTGAGAGGGTTGAAATTCTAAGAAGTAATCTATGTAGGTGGAGAGAGAGGTTTATTACTGAATCCTTGTTCATTGAATCTACACCCAACACGTGCAATACGAGTGACTCATCACTCATACCGGAATATGCTACTACCAATCAAGTCAAGTGACGAAAAATAATGAAATTATTTAAACGAAGTTAGGCAGTTGTGTGGATAACTTGATATGGTTATGAGCAATAAATTATGCTCGAAACGTCATCAGTAAACATTACTGTATAACACTATGAGACCTTATCAAAATAAATTTTATCTATAATGCAGTTATACTCTACCATAGTGCACAGGTTCTATGCTTATATCAATAATCCTTGATTTGTAGTAGAAACTGATGTTAGTTCTTCAAAATTGGCTGAATCAAACATTCTTGAGTTAAAATATTTTCGTCCTTTTAAAAATGTGACAAACTGACCAATTTCATCAGAGAAACGTCAATTGTTCGTTTTCATATCGCACCACATTCATAAACAAGTATATGTGATTTAGTAAGTTAAAAATCCCCTTAGTGTAATCAGAACAGGATGATTTTGTGAGCGAACAATTGTTTTCAGTATATTCTTCCTCAGGCTCTACAGTTATAAATCCATGAATACAGTAATACACATAGCTATTAATGACATGTGAATACAGTATTGGGGTACGTGTATAATTTGGAGGTACAGTTGTTAAATGAATGTATGTAAAAGGTGCAGTCATTCAGAACGTAGGATAAAGTGTGAATAAACAAAAGGTTGACTTAGTAATATATGTATGGTTGACAGAATATAAGTTTCACTGGGGTAGGGTGTAGGGTGAGTTATATTCAATATTGTACGAGGAAAATGATTATCACAAGATATATACAAAAAATGCCAAAAAATGGGAAACCCTGAATATGAGTTCAAGGGCTGACAGATATCAGTTGTAGTGATAAAATAAAGAGGTTAAATTGTGAACTGTAATAAAATTCTAAAGACATAATAAGCTTAGAGCAAATTATAGAAGGTTGACACATAATAAGGATAATGATAAATTAAAGTGAACTGGGTGAAAAGGAATAAGAATATATAATATGACATGAAAATATGGAGGATTATGTCCCTACTGACCTTACAGTAGACCATGGTAAACAAAGAGGATGAATGTGCTTCTATTGCACACATAGGTCCATCTTTTCCTTATTAATCTCTATAGCTTCCGTTATAGTTAAGATACATAACCATGTGCCTTTAGGCTGATTGTTTGGTACTCGATATACAAACGTAAATGCATCATTTATTTAGGTGCGGTATTCACTATCTACTAGATGAGATAAAATGGCACTATTTATTGATTTGGTTATACTTTTTCCAAGCCAAACAGGAACGTGTTCACAAGCACGTAAAAATAAATTCCTCTGAGTTCGACCCATATAACTCTCTATTTACTTATCTTTTCACATCATGAGTTAATGTCAACTCGATAACCATTAAAGATAAATTAGTATTTGCCTGCCACCTACTAAAACTCATATGGCTTTTGATTCATTGGTCTAATGTTAATATGTTGATTACTCTCAATCTCAAATGAAAGTGAGATAAGCGTTTAAAATACAAAGTGGAAATACTTGAAAACCCAACTTTGAAGGACGAGATTCACTCACTTGTTTAGAAAAAAAATAACAGAGACAAGGCAGTTATGTGATTTCAGTATAATCATTTGTGTGCAGGTTTAAAATGCACACATTTCGCCGGAGCTATCACCATTAGTGAACTTGAACTTAGCCCACGTATTCACGAAAGAAAACGATTGT